GGACACGCACCCCCGGCCGAGCTGGCAGGGAGTGTCACAGCCTGGCCACGGTGTTGTTACAGCCAGGCTGGCATCCCTGGGAGAAGGGTCTGTGCTCCGGCTGAGCGTTCCCAGTGAAGGGCCAGGCTCAGCTGTGAGGGACACGGAGGTTATTTGTGGTCTCTCCTTGCTGCTGCAGGTGAGCGCAGGGAGCCTGGAGGGCAAGTGTGGCTTCGAGCTCATGTCCCACCAGGGCCACTGGCCTCATTGTAGGAGTGTGCTGTAATTGCTATGCTAATTGGGACAAATTAAAGTATGCTCTGGGTGAAGGGCACAGTATCGACCTTGATGAAGAGATCACAGCCCTGGTGCTGGCCCCATTGCCTGCAGAGCAAACTCGAGACTGGGCTGAAATCTATGCCAAATGCAGAGGTGGTTGAAAATACATCACAGAACCCCCCAAAATGTCTGCCTGTCCACTCAAACCCTTCCCCTCCTGCCTTCAAGCTGATGTGTGTCTATCAGGCTGGGCACAGTGATGACACCAGGTGTTATGGCCAAGACCCTGGGTGTTTCCCAGAGCCAGCCTGGCTCCTTTTCCCATGGCATGGGCTGGCCCTGCCTGTCCACACAGCCAGCCACGGGTGTCTTTAGTGCCCCTGTGCCCCTGGCCCTGTTGTGGTGCCCTCCATGAGCCACCTGGGTACTGACATGTGCTTCTCCCCTCTCTTGCAGCAGCCATGGAGGCAACACTCATCTTCCTCTGCTCCCTGCTGGTGCCAGTGGCCATGGCAGATGGTAGGTGCCAAGTTCTTCCTGGGAAAAGGCTGTGGGACTCAGGGGAACAGCTGTCCCATGGATCCAGGGGGGTTGGAGCCTGTGCCAGCTGGGGTCTGTGGGTGGCTGCCAGGGCTCAGCCACCTCACAGCTCGCTCACCTCACATCCCTTGTCTGCTCATTCCCAGTGGCAACCCAGGAGAAGGAGAAGGAGGAGGAGGACCCCTTTAACTATGGTGAGCACGGCTGTGTGTGGGATGGGTGTGCATTTTGCTCCCCCCAAAAGAGCTGCTCCCTCCCCTCAACCCAGCAGGAGTGAGCCCCTGTGTCTCCTTCCCCAGATTACCAGAGCCTGAGGATCGGGGGGCTGGTGTTTGCTGTGGTCCTGTTCACTGTTGGCATTCTCCTTATACTCAGTAAGTTGGGGACCTGGCAGGTGCTGGGCTGGCAGGCCAGGGCAGCAGGGGCTGTTCTGGTGATGGGGGGGCACTGGGAAAGGCCACATCGCATTCCCACTTCTGCCACACTCAGGAATTTCTCTTCCCTTGCAGGCAGGAGGTGCAGGTGCAGTTTCAACCAGAAACCCAGGTGAGTGAGGACAGCCTGGTGGGGAACATCTCCCTTGGAAAGCCACTCTGCTCCCGGGCTCCCTCCCACAGCTGGCAGAGTGGCTGCACCCCCTGAGTGTCCCTTTTGGGTGCCCAAAGCTGGGGGATGCTCTGCTGCAGAGCTCCTGGGTGGCAGAGGAGCTCCTACAGCACCTTCCCTAGTGTGTCTCTGTGCTGCTGGGCATCCCACCCCTGGGATGGGCTGCAGATCCCAACTGCTCTCACCGTGCTCCTCTCCTTGCAGGGCTCCAGGGGATGAGGAGGCTCAGGCAGAGACCCTGATCACCTCGAACGGTAAGGCCACTGTCCCCTGCTCACTGTGCCCCTGCTCTGTGCCACAGCCACCTGCCCACAGAGCTCCCGGTGCTGGGCAGGCTCTGCAAACCCCTCTGCTCTTCCCTTTGCAGCAACGGGGGCACAGAAGGCAGAGAACTGACCAGGAGCCATGAGGTGAGTCTCTGGCCACTCTGGGTGGTGGCACCAGGACGGGAGGGACAGCTGGGGCCGCGTGTGGGGACGTTCTGAGCAGGCCAGGCTGCAGGGACTGGGCAGCTGAGCACTGATAGGGGCCAGAGCAGGGAAACTCGCAGGGCTGGTGGGTGTCCTCAGGCAGCCCAGCAGGAAAAGGAAGCATCTGTCCGGATTTTCCCTTGTATTACACTTCCTTTTCTTGTGCTTCCCCACCCCGAGGTGGTTTTGGTTTTAGGGAGCCTGGAGAGCTGGGTGGGGGTCCCTCAGGGTGTCTGGCCCCGTGCCTGCAGTCAGAGCTCCCCGAGCTCCCTGGCTGTGCCCCCGTTCGGAGCCCGTGCTGGCAGTTGGAGCCGCAGGCAGGGAAAGGCGTCGGTGCTGCTCCCAGCCTGACTCGCTGCTCTCCTGCCCACGCAGACCCAGAGACCCAAGGACGGACGCTCGGACCGCAGACGCCCGTGGCCTGCGAGGAAACTGAAATCACAGCAGCAGGTCCCTCTCAGGAGGCACAAAGCTGCCGTGTCTGTGTTACCCTCTGTACTCCAGCACCGGTTCTCTGTTTCCTAACCCGACTAAACTCCGCTCACCGTCCTCTCTGCCTCCCGTGGTGTGTAATGTTGCTGTGAGATGATCATTGCCTCTAGGGCTAGTTGTTGCTGATGTTGTAATCGTGACTTTCTCTTCACCTTTCTCGTGCTGTGCGTGTGATTCGGGCTCTGGAGGACCGGCAGGCGCTGCCCTTTGGGCTGCGCTCCAAGCCTGGGAACGGGGGCCGTGTGGGGCAGGGAGCGTGGGCTGTGGGGCAGGGACAGCCCGTCCCCCAGCCCAGAGCCAGCAGCACAGCCCTCACAATGCTGGTGGTTCCCCTGCTGGCTTTGGGCAGGGCTTGGGGACCTGTCCTGCAGCGCCCCAGGGACCTGCTCAGTGCCACCGTTTCAGCAATAACCCCCTGCACGCCCCCAGCCCAAAGGCAGCTGCGGTGGGGGGTGAGTCGGGCAGGGACATCCCGTGGCTCGGCTCCCCTCGCTGGGAGCACTGGGGGGCTGGATTCGAGGCTGTCCCACACCCTGCTTGGCACACCCCGTTCCTGTCCCTGGCTAAACCTGTGGGACATTGCTGTAAGAGGGAGGAGAGGCTGTGGTGGCAGAGAAGCCCATGAGGTTCCCAGCAGGGTGACACTGGGAGAGAGGGCGGCTGCACAGCGGTGACCCCGCTAATCAGCACAAACCAGCTCCTCGCCAGCACCCAGTCCGAGGGCTCCAGAGAAACAAAATCCTGTCTGTGCTTGTCTCCGACAGGGAAGGGGCAGCTCCCTGCCCCTCCTGCTGCCTTGTCGCTGCCTGTGCCACCCGTGTCAGTGCTGAGTGTTGTCCTGTGGTGGTTTGTGTCACTCCCAGTGCCGGCTGCCCCTTCCCCCATGGAACGGCAGCAAGAGGTGGTCTTGCACACCTGAGCTTGCACTGTGGCAACGTGCTGAGCCCACGGTCCCTCATCACCTTTGTGTTTGCTCGTGGGTCAGAGGCAAAACTGTGGGGTTTGGCCCTTCCCCAGGCCCATGGACAGGCAAAGCCTTGGCTGGGGCTGGGCACTGCCAGCTTGGGTGTGGGGCACTTACCTGGGCAGCAGCTGCACTGAAACACCTTAGTGTGCCATCCCCACACCGGGAAGGGGGTCTTGTCCTCCAGGATGGTTTTGAGAGGGGTTTCTGCTGTGCCCAGCCCACTGTGGTGGCCCTGCCTCCAGGGTGGGCTGTGTCCCTGTGTGCCTGGCATCCCTCAGTGGCGCTGGGAAGCTCTGTCCCATCTGTGCCAGGCAGAGGGAGTGTGTCTCCAGTACTGTGTTCCTTTCCCAGTACTGTGTCCCTTCCCTCCCTCCTGGCCTGTCAGAGATCTCCCAGGCAGAGCAGATCCCTCAGCCCAGCCCCTGAGTGCCAGTGGTGTGTGTCCCTCCGAGTGCCTGTGCTGTCCATAGTGTGCCGTCGGTGTTAACACGAAACAAAGAGACCCCTGTGGTGTGTAAAATGGCCAAACCCTGACTGTTGTAAAATAAACTGAGCTATTGTGTTTCCTTTTAAATAGGCGAGTGTGCTGCTGTGCTGGAGGAGCTGGTGTGCTCTGTGTTGTGGCCTAGGGGGAAAGGAATAAAATATTGCTTCTGTTGGTGCCTGGCTGCATCGTCTCGAGGGCCGTGGCGTTCCCAGGGCAGCCAGGCTGGGTGAGGCACCAGCAGCTCCCACGCTGTCCCACTGGGGAGAGAGGGGCAGGGGCAGCGCCCTGGGCAGCACAGACAGGCTTTGTGCGGGCAGAGCCCCCTCCCTGCGCTCTCCCTTCTGCAGCCAGGAGCGTTTCAGCAAGAGCCAGAGTCTGTGTGAAGGGAGCGTGGGCACAGAGACTCCTTGTCCCTTGGTTTTTTGGGAGCTGCTGTGCTGGGCTGCTGCCGCGCCCGATCCGGGGGATGCCGAGCGCTGCCAGGGCGCCGCGACAGCAGTGCCACCACAACGGCCCCACACAGCACCCTCCGGGGCTTGGCCTCGCCCCGTGGCGCCAGAGCTGGGCTGCTGTGGGCTCCAGGTGCCCGCACTCCTTGGCCATGCCAAGGGGAGCCTCCTTTGGGGGCAGCTCCCCCTGGCACTAATCAGCTTGGGCGCGTGACTCCCGCCCGCTGATTGCGAGATTAGAGCAAACTGGATTGCACAGCCCTCCTGGCAGCTGGCCTTGCTGGGGCCGGGGCTGGCAGCTCCCCGGGGAGCACAGCATCCTGGTACCCCACTGCCAGCAGGGATGCACCACGGACATGGCTGTGCCAGGGGCTGCAGGACCCCCGGGATAGCTGGATGCTGGGCTGGGAGGTGCCGACCCGGCTGTGGCACACCCGCAGTGCCAGGCTGGGAGGGCGGGGTGTGCTGCCTGCTTCTCTCTAGCCAAAGGCAGTCTCAGCCTGTATCTCAGCCCGTCCCTCGGGATCGCCGCCCCTGCGGGAGGTGAAGCCCAGTTGGGAAAGTGAGGGAGGGCTGGGACTGGGATACCCACGGCTTGGGGTGCTCAGCCCTCCCCGGCGGCTGGCACAGTGGGTGCTGCCCTGCCCTCCCCTCCCCTCCTTCCCAAAGGCGGGTGGGAGGGAGCCCTGGGCCTCCCCTCGTGACTGCGATAAACATTACACCGAGGCCATTAATGTTTAATGAGGTTTGTCTCCCAATTAATGCGCTTTCCCGTGGGTGCCCCACTCCCAGAGCGAAGCACCACCGAGCAACACGCCGAGGCGATGGGTGACGGTAAGGGCAGGCACCTTCCCAGGGGCACCTCCGTGCGAGGAGCAGGGCTGCTCCCTCCTGTGGGGGGGAAACTCTCACCAAAGACTCGGGGGGACACGTGGGGATGGATGCTCAGAGCTCCACAGCCCTCTGGTGCGTCGGTGCCGGCTGGTGTTTGGCTTCTTGGGGTGATTCCTCCTTCCAGACGGCTCCTGGCAGAGGGATGAGCAGTCAGGTAAGGTGGCTGGAGAGGGGACACGCTGCTGGCAGACAGATGAGCCTGCAGGTGTGGAGGGGCACTGCTGGGATGCTCCCTGGTGTGAGGGGCGAGCCTGCAGGGCTGTCCAGTCCTGCGTGCCAAGGGAGCAGAGCCACGGAGTCCTGCGGGCACTGGAGCCGGGTCCATCTACAGCTTCACCTGGAGACTGAGAACTCCTGTGCATCCCACGAACGCAGCCTGCAAGTGCATCCCACGAATTCACCATGGATGTTAAACTTCCTGGGTTGAAACACAGGAGTTTGGGAAATATTTACTGGCTGGGCTAGACACTGAGGAAGCCACAGCTTGCAGCCTGCATTGCTGGTCTCTCCCACCTCCATGCCATCAGCCCAGCGCCCAGGACCTGGCTCTCACTGGGATTCCTCCTCTTTTCCAGAGCAAGCGCCCGAGCAGGGCCTGGACAGGTTCAGCTACGGTGAGTGTGTGTCCTGGGCAGCCTGGGAGCTGTGGGCAGGGGATGGGCAGCCCCCTCCCTGCACTGTGAGCTCAGCCCCACACCCTGCCTGGGCTGACACCCCTTGGCTCTCGTCCTCCCCAGACTATGACACCATCCGCAACGGGGGGCTGATCTTCGCCGTTGTGGCTTTTTTGATCGGGCTCCTCATCATCCTCAGTAAGTGCCTGGGTGGGCTGGACACCCCCTCAGCTCTGTTCCCTGCACGTGCCCCCCTGCTCCTCTCACCTCCCTCCTCTGGCTGGGTGTGGGGCTGGGGGCCACCAACCCTGCCCCTCAGCAGCAGGGGTGGGCACAGCTGGCCCCCAGGGCTGCCTGGGAACTTTCCATCCAGGCACGCTCCCAACACAGAGCGAGTTGGGAAGGAGACCACGTAAATATTTAGTGTTTCCCTGCCAGCACCGAGGCTTCAGAGGGAAGGTCACTCATTAAAAATAGCAGAGAAAACTCTGACATTGCCAGAGCGAGAAAGCACCGTTCCCAGAGCCCTTGGATCTCGGCAGCCCCCAGAGTGACCCAGTGCTGGGTGTGCAGGGCACCCTGTGACCCTGCCTGGGTGTTCTGCCACTACTCCGTGGGGCTGGGGTGGCTGCAGCATTGGGGCCGGTGCGGGGACAGTGCCCAGTAATTTTAGGGGGGAAAATAGGAAAACCAACGACATTTGCAATTGTGGGACGGCTTAGACAGACAGACTTTGTGACTGGGCAGTGCCAGGGCTTGCAGGGGTGGGATGGGGCAGGGGAGGCTCAGCCCCAGGGACCTCAGTCGCTCCTCTTGCCCCCAGGCCAGCGGTTCCACTGCGGAGGGAAGAAGAAGCCGAGGTGGGTGTTGCGTGGTTTTCAGGCAGCCTCATCCCTCCTCACTGTCCCAGTCCTGACAGGGGGGTCTTGGCTTGTGTTCCCCCGTCTCCCAGCATTGCCCGGTGTAACACATCTCCCTTTGCTTTGTGCTCCACAGGCAAGGGAACCAGGAGACCCTGTAGGTGCAGGTAGGCTGCAGGAGGAGGCTCCAGCTGGCAGCCAGGCTCCTTGTGCAGGGAGGGATGTTTCGGGGTGCCTGTTCTTCAGGGAAGTACCTACCGGGGGTTTATCTTGGGGGGAGAGGGGCTGGGACACGCTGGCCATGTAACTCTCCCTCTCTCTGGTTTCAGAGCTGCTGTGCCACCATGGAAGCAGAGCTGCGTCCAAATCCTTGCCAAAGGCCACCCCTTCCCCCGCTCCAGTGGATCCATTACCCTGCAAGGCCAAAATGCAAATTACCCTCGTGCTTCTTCTCCCTCCCTTAGACCCAGCGAGAGTTTCTTGTCTAATAAAGTTCGAGCTCAGAGAGTTTAAACTCCGTACCCAAAGGCGTTTGAGTCGCCCACTCTCCTGGCCCAGCGCCAAAAAAACTTTTGTGCCCTGCAGGCATCTTCCACCCCAGACCCAGGAAAGGTTACTGCCGGCCCCCCTCCGGCACGGAACAGCCGGCTGGCTCCACCCTGGCTTTGCTCCGGATGTTTCTTTTCCCACCGGCAGATTCCTGGGTCCTGCGGCACATGCCCTTCCCGTGGGATGCTCGGGCAGCGGCTGGCAGCAGCGGGCACGTGTGGGGCTCTTTGTGTGCTTGTGTCCGGCTGGGATGGAGTTAATTCCCCCCATTTCAGCCCTCGTGGTGCTGGGCTGTGTGTTGGGAGCTGGGAAGGTGTTGGTAACACACCAGTTTTGACTCCTGCTGCTCCCGCAGCATCAGCGCTGTCTCTCCGGTATCTCCCCCACCAGCAGTCTGGGGGTGGGCAGGATCCCGGGAGGGGACACGGCCAGGACAGCCCCAAACTGACCGAAGGGATATTCCAGCCCATGTGACATCTGCTCAGGTATAAAAGGTAAGGAAAAGGTGGAGAAGGTGTTGGTGTTTTTTATGATTTACAACCTTTGCCTTCAGGAGCAACCTCTGCTTCCCGAGGGCTGGACGTTGCCTGCGGAGGGGAGGTAGAGAATACAATCTTTTAGTTTCTTTTTTTTTTTTCTTTCCCTTTTTCTTACTCGCACACACTCTTTGCTTTCGATTTCGAAACTGCCTTTGTCTTGACTCACAAGTCAGGGGGATTTCCTCTCCTTGTTTCTCCCTCCCTGTCCTGCTGAGAAGGGGAGTGATGGAGTAGCTCAGGGGGGTCCAGCCAAGGTCAGCCCACCACAGCATCACAGAGCTTGATCCAGGCATCCTTGTCGGTCAGGAGCGGGGCTGGGATGGAGCACGGAGCTGTGTGAGAGCTCACGGCCTCTCTCAGCTTCGGATTCAGACAGAAACGCCTCTTGCAAGAAAAAAAACAGGCGCCAAACTGTCCCGCAATTGGGCGGTGAGCGAGGAGGGAGGTTCGCTGTGTGCGCGCTGAGCTGGACCGACACAGACCCCTAGTGACCGGAGGGCAGGGGTGCTTGTCCCCCACGCTGCCCCAGTACCTTCACCCTTCCCCTGCAGCTCTGGGGCCGAGGGTCACCCCAAACAGGCAGAGAAAGAGGGGTTCAGGGGCAGGAGCAGTGGGGAACTCACCTCAGCATTCCAGGGGGTGCTTGGTCAGGGTGAGAATACCAAGCTTCCCACCCTCACCTGAAGCCACTGCAGGGGCTCAGGTGTGTGAGGTGCTGCCTTCTGGAAGCCAAACCGTCCTGGTGGTGCTGGGATGGAGGAACCGGCCCCCAGGGTCCGTTTGGGCTTTGATGTAGGTCAGACATTGACAGAAAAATAGGATTAGCTGGGGCAAGGTTATTAGGCAAAATCCGTGCAATTTGTCTGATCTGAGGTGCTTATTTAACACAGTAAGGAGATTATTTTGGAATATAATTTTGACTTGACACTGACCCACTGATAAAGAGTCGTTGCAGCTTTGCAAAGCTCAAACAGAGACTAGCTGAGGGAGAAAATGGCTAATGCTTGAACTTGATGACCTTAGAGGTGTTTTCCAACCTGAATGATTCTGTGACTCTACGAAAAGTGCCTCTTTAACAGCACAGAAGGGTTTGGTCACAGCAGAACTGCCCTGGCCACTCCCTGCTCTGACCCCCAGTCCTTGCTGAGCGCACTGGGGTTGTGTTCCCCCAAAAGCAGCAGCCGAAGCTCCCAGCAGGCAAGAAGGCAGTGTGAAAAAGGCGTGAAAAGGTGTGAAAAGGGTGTGAAAAGACCTGCCCTCAGCAGGGTCTCACACCCCTGTTCCCCGGTGCCAGGGCACAGCCGTGCCCTTCACCCCCCGTGGAGCCCCACAGACGGAGCCCCCGGGGCTCGGGGATTACGGGGAGAGAAAAGCCGTGTCTGGCTGCCCGTGCGGGATCTCTGTCTCGGCACCAGATGGCATTAATAGCATTACTCTGCACGGCTTGTGCACGCCCACGTGTATCTGCGCGGCCCCTCGCACCCTGGCAGGGGCTGGGGACACTCGCAGGGGGTGGCGGTGGCAGGGCAGGACCTCCAGCACACGATCACTTGCCCCGGGTGTTACATTTGGAGGGCAAGGCTCTTGTAACAGCTCAGCTGTGAGCAGCTCAGCTCCCTGCTCTCCCGGGAGTCTGGGAAGCAGGAACACAGGAGAGGCATAGGCAAATTATGTGAGGCACAGTAAATGTGGCCTCCCTGTGCCCAGGCTGGGGGGCTGCCAGCAGCCCCTGCTCTCCTTGCCTCTCCACAATCCTTTGCTTTGGATGTTGAGCCCAGGAGCTTTGGCAGAGGGAAGCTGGGAGGACTTCCAGCTGTGTCTCCTTCCTCCTGCCACTGCCCCAGTGAGAGGGTCCTTCTCTCCCCAGGGCTTGTGTCAGGTGAGTTGTTGTCCCCATTGCAGGGTGTCCCATGGGACAAGCTCCAGCCCCTCAGCCCTTTCCTTGAGCCCACAGGTCCCCCAGGAGCTGCAGGCTCGGCCAGGAGGCGTTTGCCTTCTCCCCTGAACCAGGCAATCTCAGAGGATTTCTCTCACAGTCCCTTGAGCCATTAATCTTCTCAAAGTAAATCTTTTCTGTGGCACAAAGGGGATTGAGTAAATAATACAGTGGACAACCAGAGTGCCCTTTTCCTCTGGGAAGGCTTCCAGATCCAAAGGGCTTCCCCTTGGCACTGGCTATTCCCTGTTTGCTTTGCCGGTCTGTGGATGGACAGGTATGAGGGAGAGGGGTCCTGGCCAGCCATGGCTTGGCCTGTTGTTCCTGAATGGAAGGAGATGAGGCAGCGGGGCAGGAAGCAGAGGAGCAGCAGCCAGGCAGGAGCCTGCCAGCACCGCTCCACGGTGCCAGGGGCGAATTTGGCCCATGAGGAAACGTGAATGCAAAATGTCTCCTCATTAGCCTAAAGAGGAGAGCAGCAAATGGTGACTGGGGGAGCCAAAGAGGAACACTTGAGAGGGGAGAGATGGGCCGGGCTGGCGGGGAGCCAGGCACGCGCCTCGTCCTCCCTTTGTTCTGCTCCCGAAAAGGCAGCGCATCCATCAACAGCAGCTCCTCTGCCAAAACAGCAGCGCTCCACGGGCCCAAATTATCCTCCAGCCCGAGCAAATGACATTTCGGCCTTCGTTTCCCACTGCCCCAGAGCAGTGGTTGTTAGGGAGTAGCTGCTCACACGAAGATGGCCAGGGGACCCGGAGCTGAGCAGCCCCATGGCAGCGATGCTGTGGGAATGCAGCCCAGGGATGGATGGACTGGCTCTTGCCAGTGGGATTGACAGTGGAATGTAGCTGGAAGCAGAGTCCCCAGCCTGTGAGTCTCAGGACCGTGCCTTGGAATCGCAGAATCATTTAGGTTGGAAAAGACCTCTGAGACCATCGAGCTCCATTAACTAACGCTGCCAAGGCCACCACTAAACCGTGTTCCCAGAGATCACATCTGTACACATCTGTCCTTTAAATCCCTGGGTTAAATCCCTCCAGGGTTGGTGGTGGCTCCACCACCGCCCTGGGCAGCCTGTTTAGCCCCTGGATTCGCTGAAACACTGCGAAGCCCCTGGAGCCGCCAGGGACAGGGACCCCGCTCGCCTCCCTGCGCGGGACTCCCCTCGGCAAAGCCCCGCTGCCCCGGTCCCTGCTCCGCAACGGAGCGCGGTGACACTAGAGGGAACCAAATCCCAGCTTCTTGCCGGGAAAGCGGCTTTTCCCTGACCAGCGGAGCATCCTGCCTGCCCGGCACCCGGAGCTCTTCGCACACAACAGAACCACAGGCTGGGTTGGGTTGGAAGGGACCTTACAGACCACCTCGTTCCAACCCCCTGCCATGGACAGGGACATCTTCCACTAGACCAAGCTGCTCAGAGCTCCAGGAAGCCTGGCCTTGAACACTTCCAGGGATGGGGCAGCCCCAGCTGCCTCACCACCCTCACAGGGAAGAATTCCCTCCTGACATCAAGTCTGAATCTCCCCTCTTGTAGTTTGTTCCCCTTTTCCTGGCACGATCTGCCCTCTATACCAGGCTGTGTTTCCCTTTTGGACACGCTGCCCTTCCTGTTGTGCAAGACACAAAGGGCTCAAGGAGGATCTCATTTTTGGGTATGTTGACCTGCTGGCAGCTGCCTGTTCAGGGTTTTCTTATCCTTTACCGGGGCACAAGCCCCTTGCCACTTCTAGGGTGTTTATTCTCCCACTACCCCATGAAGCAGCTGCTCTGTCCCCTCTGCCACTGGGGAAACTGAGGCACAGACAAGCTGGGGGACTTTCCCTCCTCAGCACTGCCCCAGGCAGCACCCACACAGGGCCAGCCTTGGGGTGAAGGGGGAGGGACGGGGGTCCAGGACAGGTATTACAGGGAATCATAACCCTGGCAGGCCCAGCCCTTTCCCACCCAAGTGTGCCCAATGATGAGCCCAGCTGAAAGCTATCCTGCAATCAGCCCCACAGCCTCCTCCACCATGTTACTGGTGGGACTGGGCTGGCAGTGCCTCTGTGGGGCAGGGTGCCCGGGGAGGGGTCACGGCAGGCTGGCTCTGCTCGCCGGAGAGGTGCTGTCAGGGTAAGTTGGCGATGCGTGGGAAGTGCTTTGTGGAAATCGGCTCGTGCCAGATAAGTAGCCCTGTTGTTTTAATGACTGCTTCCTCTGGGGATTTGTCTGTGAGGGCAGCTCAGGGCAGGGGGCTGGGGCGGCGGGAGGTGAGGTGTGTCCGGGCAGGAGGGAGGATGGGGTGAGGGAAGCTCCCCACAGCGCTGTGTGTGTCCCTCTGCAGCACCTCTGCCCTGCACAGGGCACGGGCTGGGGCTGACCCCAGAACTGGGGGGTGCTGTTGGGACCTTTCTCTTGGCTGTTTCTCCCAGTGCCTCTCTGTGTGACTGTATGGAGGGTGGGTTTTTTGCACATCAGTGGATGAACTATCCTTAGAGGGTAAAGGACCTGACTGGCTAATGGG